GGGGGTTTGTTTTGACGCCGAAGGGAAGTGGAGGGGGTTTGTTTTGACCGGCCAGTGCTTCCCATATACTACTCGCGCACACTGACCTACCATTCTGTCCAACATGTGAGAAACCACCCGGCAAGCGTGAGGACAAGCTTCTCGCAACATTATGCGATAAGCAACGTTACGTCATCCACTATCGCAACCTGCAGCAGTGTACTCGTCATGGTCTCCGTATCGCAAAGGTTCACCGTATACTACAATTCGCGCAAGCTCCATGGCTCCGCGATTATATAGAATTAAACACCAAATTTAGAACATTGGCAAAGAACGATTTTGAAAAAAATTTATACAAACTGATAAATAACGCGGTATTTGGCAAGACCATGGAGAATGTGCGCAATCGCGTCGATGTAAAATTATTAACAAAATGGATGCAGAGGCAATGATCGCCAAACCAAACTTCCACAGTCATAGCGTCTTTTCGGAGAATCTGGTCACGATAGAACTGCGTAAACTCGAGGTGAAGTTCGACAAACCGATATACGTGAGTATGTGTATCCTCGATATATCTAAAACGTGTTTGTACGAATTTCACGAGTACATGGCACCGCTGTTTCGTGACAAATGTAAAATTATGTATATGGATACTGACAGTCTCATATACCATGTGGAATGTGATGACGTTTACGATATCATGAAACGCGATATCAATAGATTTGACACGAGTGATTACTCTGTTGATAACGCGTACGGTATTCCGCTCGCGAATAAAAAAGTTCCAGGCTTAATGAAAGACGACAATAACAGTATCATCATGACTGATTTCGTCGGGCTTAGAGCGAAAATGTATGCTTTACGTGTGCAAAGAAAGAAAGATACGAAAAAGGCAAAGGGTGTCAAGAGCAGCATTGTGACAAAATCCATAACGTTTGAGGATTACACACGCTGCTTGAACGACGCAATCGAAATGACGCGCAAGCAGTCGTGCATTAGATCAAAATTGCACGAGGTGTACACGATATTGGAAACGAAAATTGCTCTTAGTCCGCACGATGATAAGCGATATATCGTATCAGGTTCCACCAACACGCTGCCATGGGGACATTACCGATGTAAATAAAACGCATTTCGCATATGTATAAATATGTAATATGTATAATATGTATACAATGTGTAATATGTATACAATGTATAATATATATAATATGTATGAAATGTATGAAATGTATAATATGTATAATATGTATGAAATGTATATGTATAAAATGTATAATATGTATAAAATGTATGATATGCAAAATATGTATACTATGTGTAATATTTAATATATATATTTATAATGAATATATGTAATACTTTAATGTATAATATAATGTATAATTTTATAATACATTGTCTTTATGAATCCATGAATTGTGCGAATTGTCAAATCCCAACCATTTCATGTAAACCAAGTTTCCCTTCTTACGCAACACTTTTCCGAGATACATGTCAGGATTAGCGACGCGATGCAGTTCGTATTCGTAGAATCCTCCAACGATGGATTTTCCGCAAGAATCTTCCAATAGGTACGTCACTGGATTAGTTTGTTGTACTTTGATGATTTTAAAGACCTCCGTAGTCCAATTCGGCGTGTATTCTTTCTCAAAGATCGTCTTGAATTTGCTCACGCGAACCGAGTCACTCACTTTGAATCGCGCAGGTGCGGCAATCTTTACATGATTGTACACCGTGGTTAAGAGCCTGTCGGCGATCGCAGGAGTAACATCGACAGGTCGCATGCCGATAGTTCGATGCTTTCGCGAGTTGTAATCTGATACGAGGCGTGGTAGCATGTCGATCCATCTATAGTTTCCATTGTACGTAAATTGTTTCCACATATCATTCTTCAACGTACGATTGAACCACTCAACGACCGATGCCTTCATTACAGAATATGTAGAGTAATGATTGATGTTGTGTTTCTTCAAGAGTTTCTGCACATTCGAGTTGTAAAATTCCTTTCCTTTGTCGGTCTGCAAATTTTTCGGACATCTTCCATCGTCTCGAATTATCTTTGCAATCGCTTTCGTCACCTCGTTCCCACCCTTGGCTTTGAGTGGTACGGCCCATGCGTGCTTACTCAGCACATCGATAACGGTGAGAATGCAGTGGTACGCAGGGCGCGAGGATACGCCAAGGCCAAGATGACGAGATTGTGGACGCGAGTGATGGAAGCAAGGCAAACGAGCGAACAGGGCCTCGGGAGCGACAAGGATCTAGCCGAAGCGAGGCTAGAGAAGCTTGAGGAAGCATATCGTGAGTTCGAGAACATTCAAAGGCAATTGTTGGTACGACTAGGCGAACTTTCCGCAGAAGACATAGCGGAAGAGGAGCATGTCGAAGAAAAACACTTCGAGGTAAAAACTTTATTGAAATAATCCATCAAGCAGAAGTCCGATGCAGACGTTGCATCGCAGAATACAGACGCGATAACGAAACTGCTGCAGCAACAAACAGAGCTGATGCAACAGTTTCAGATCGGGGGTCTGGGCGGCCAATCAGCCACCACGACGCAAGCGAGAGACAATGACGCGCTGGCGGCCATACTTGGTCGACAAACGGACATTTTAGATCGTGTAGCTAATACAGCGGGGCCAATTACGTAGATAATAGAGTCAAGTGGCCCACTATCACTCTTCCGCGTTTTGATGGCAAAATTGAAGAGAGGAAGTATTTTTCAGACAGTTTCCGATCAATTATACACGACAAGGCGCACTTGTCGAACGTCGAGAAATTTCAATATTTAGTATCGTCGGTTAACGGCGAAGCCGCGAAAATAATAGAATCAATCGAGATAACCGGGCAGAATTACTCTACTGTATGGGAATTGTTGCAACAAAGGTATGATGATCCGAGATCACTCAAGAAAAAACACATTCAATGTTTGTTCGTGATGCCGACAGTAATAAGGGAATCCGCAAGGGCAATTCGGGATTTAGTTGACCACACTGCTAGACATTTGCGAATGTTAAAGGTTTTAGGAGCACCCACAAATACATGGGACGAACTGATAATGCATATGATGGAGTCCAAATTCGATGGCAAAACCCTTCGAGCCTGGAAGGAGGAAATAAAGTCAGATGAAGAAGCAAAATTAGATGACCTGTTCGAATTTCTGAAAAGGAGATATCAAACCCTCGAGCGGATTGAATCTAGATCCATGGATAAATCTGAAAGGTCAAAGGAGGGAGAAATGCGTGGTAAAGGTACATCTGCACATTCAAAGTCGCATTCTTCCACGAAAGGTATTACACCATTAATCAAGCGACAAACGCTCTGACTACATCCTTGAATTCAGGTAAGTGCTATCTCTGTAATGGAAATCACTTCATATATTTTTGTGAGAAATTTTTAGCCTTATCAGTGGACGATCGCGTCAAGGAGGTCAAACAATTAAAACTGTGTCTAAATTGTCTCAAGCACGATCATTACGTAAAGGCATGCTGAATGAGCTCATGTCGAGAATGTTCTCGGCGACATAACACGCTATGCCATCCACGGTCTAGCAAGGATTCTGGTACTTTAGAGGTTTCAGGATCACAAAGTCAAGTAGACAATGGGCAATCGCTCTTCAATATTGCTGTTCATCACGCTTCGAGTGATGAAAAAGGAAGGTGCGTACTCATGGCCACGGCTATACTGGCAGCGACACACCGCAACGGCTCGAGCGTTCCGATTCGGGTACTTTTGGATAGCGCGAGTGAGGCAAATTTTATAGCTCAGTCAACTCACAATAGGTTAGGTTTAAAACGTAATAGAACCTTTGAGACCGTAACCGGGTTGAATGAAATCGAGAATACGATACATAGCACTTGCGACGTCCATGCGAGATCGCAATGTTTCAATTTCGAAATCAATGCTCGATGCTTAGTCGTTCCCAAAATCACGGGGGATCTGCCGTCTATAAAGATAGATCGCGATGCATTGCAATTGCCCGCTAATAACACGCTAACTGATGCTAACTTTCACGTGCAGTCCGGTGGATATGTTGCTAGGCGCGGAATTCTTTTTCGACTTGTTAGAAACGGGCAAAATAGAACTCGGCAAGGACAATTTAGTATTGAAAAATACGAAGCTGGGTTGGATAGTGGCAGGATCCATCCCATTAGTAGCGTTCAAGAATTTGGTAGCCAAGCAGAGAGCAACAAACGTATTAACTTGCTCATTGAAATCGTCTGAAACGTTGAATGAAACTCTAGAGCAATTTTGGAAATTGGAAAATTATGATCAACAAAAGGCACGAACACCGTCTCGTGAAGAAATAAAATGCGAGTTACACTTCGAGCAAACTATCACGCGAGCCAATGACGGCAGATTCATAGTAAGGTTACCGTTTCGCGAACAAAATGTACCCATCGGTAACAATAAGGAAATAGCTCTTAAAAGATTAAATAGCTTGGAGCGCACTCTTAAGGGCAACAAAGTTATTCATGAGCGTTACATTAAGTTTATGCAGGAATATGCTGACTTGGGACACATGTCTATCGCTAGTTCTAGTAATTGTGGGAATGTAGTGTATCTGCCTCACCATGGAGTGCTGAAAGAATCTAGTACTAGCATCAAACTGCACGTAGTTTTCGATGCCTCCGCTAGAAATAAAAGGGGCGTGTCTTTGAACGAGGCTCTACTTGTGTCGGTCCAGTTTTACAAGACAATTTAATAGATATAATTGTACGGTTTCGAACTTACAGAATAGTAGTAACTGCCGATCTGAAGAAAATGTACCGCCAAGTTTTGGTACATCAGAATGATCGTGACTTTCAACGCATATTATGGCATTCCTCATTTGACAAACCCGTCGAGGAGTATCGTTTAAATACCGTTACATACGGACAAGCTTGCGCGTCTTATTTAGCGATTAGATGTTTGCGGCAGTTAGCTGCAGAGGGCGATTTGCGTTATCCCCTCGCTGCCCAAGCGTTGCTGAAGGATACTTATGTTGATGACATAATATCGGGAGCAAATACGATCCAAGATGCACGCGCTTTACAGAGCCAATTGACTGAATTGTTATGCGAAGGTGGATTTGAAGCTCATAAGTGGTTCGAACGTCTCTGAAGCATTGGCAGGAGTGCCTATGGATTCGCGAGAATATAACATGCCCTTGGATATTGATGCGAACGATGTTATTCGAACATTAGGCATTGAATGGAATCCAACTTTGGACGAGTTTCTATTTACCGCGCTAATAATGTCTCATGTAGCCACGGACAATGCTGTCAGCTATAAGCAAATTGTTTGACCCGTTAGGTTTGATAGGTCCTGTGCTAACGATAGCCAAGGTTTAATGCAAGCTCTTTGGGAAACCAAAATAGATTGGGACGATCCGCTCCTAGAGAAGGTTTTAAATAAATGGAAGGATTTTCAAAGAAATTTGTCAGAAGTAAACACAATTCGCGTGCCACGTATGGTCGTTAATCCAGAGACGCGTCCGAGACTGCTTATGGCGCTTGTGTTTATGTTCAGTCGATAAGCGAGACTAGTGGAAAGGTTACTGTAAATCTTTTATGTTCCAAGGCAAGAGTTGCACCCTTAAAGAGATTGTCCATACCAAGATTAGAACTTTGCAGTGCGTTATTACTGGCGAGGTTAATTTATCAGGTAAAGCATGCTATTACTATAAACATTGATGGGATATTTGCTTGGTCAGACTCCATGGTTGTATTGCACTGGCTTCGTGGCGAGGCTTCGCGATGGAAGCCTTTTGTGGCTAATCGGGTAACCGAAATCATTGAAATTCTACCTGCGTTGTGCTGGAGGCACGTGCGGAGTTCGGATAATCCTGCGGATTTGATCTCACGAGGAGCGACGCCTGCTCAGCTACGAAACAATTCTTTGTGGTGGAATGGCCTTATGTGGCTGATAGATTTGAATCCTGTTGAAATCAATGAGGAAATGCATTGCAAACTTGACAAAGAGGACTTGTTCAACGCTGAGGATGAGGCAAAGAAGAACCCACGGATTTGTAATATGAACGCATCTCCGTCTATACGGCCAAACGATGTAATTGGCAAACTCGTTACGGATTGTTCTATACCTTAACAAAAATTGAACGATCATTAGCTTACTGCTTCAGGTTTATTAATAATTGTCGAAACGATCACAAAGTTACAGGCAAATTGACTCTATCGGAATTGAAGCTATCCCATTGAGAGATAATTAAGTACTCTCAGAGACTCTACTTTCCGCATGATGGAGATTCCCGGGAAAATGGTGAATTGAAGACCACGAGTTCTCTACATAAGTTGCATGCTTTTTTGGATGAAGCCGGCATCATCAGGGTGGGCGGACGACTCCAGGCAGCCCCTAGGAGTTTTGAACGGAGACATCCCATACTCCTTCCAGCGCGCTGCAAGGTGACACGCTTGCTGGCTGAGCGAGAGCATCGCAAGTTGTTGCACGCGGGGCCACAATTGCTATTAGCATCAATACGAAGTCGATACTGGCCATTGAATGCACGAAACTTAACGCCAGATCTGTCGCTCTTGTGTGTGGTGCGCCAAAAATAGTCCTCGAGGATTGACGCAAGCCATGGGATCATTGCCCGCTGACAGAATTCAACCGTCCCGAGCATTTATGGTGTCGATTTTACTGGCCCAATCGTCACGCTTATCAATAAGGGCCGTGGACGGAAGACATGCAAATCATATGTCGCACTATTTATCTGCTTCGCTACCAAGGCGGTCCACCTCGAGACAACTAGCGAGCTAACCTTCACGGCTTTCTTAGCAACTTTGCGCCGATTCATCGGAAAGCGCGGAATACCGCGCAAAATCTGTGATAACGCCACGAACTTCGTGGGAGCCCGACGTGAACTGGCCGAGCTTTACGCTTTCATCCACGCATCCATAGGGTCAGTTGGTGATGTTCTACAGCAGGAAGGCGTTGAATGGGTTTTCATACCTCCTTATTCCCCACATTTGGGTGGTTTGTGGGAAGCTGGAATTAAATCTTGCAAGTACCACGTGAAGAGAATTATGGGCACTACTTTATTCACGTTCGAGGAGTTGACAACAGCCCTGGTCCAAATAGAAACCCGTTTAAACTCGAGACTTGTCGCCAATGTCATCTGACCCTTTGGATACACTGCCGTTAACACCCGGACATTTTTTGGTGGGAGAACCGTTGCTTAGCCTCCCGGACAACGATTTATCGGACATCAAGATCAACCGTCTAGATAGGTGGGCTTTAATCCAGCGGATGGTGCAGGATTTTTGCAAAAGGTGGGCGGCTGAATACGTCTCGAATTTGCAGAATCGCTTCAAATGGAAGAACAAGCAAGAGAACCTACAAATCAATGACTTTGTACTTTTGAAGGAAGATAATTCACCCCCTTTGAAATGGAAAACAGGACGAGTGATAGAGGTACATAGAGGCGAAGATGGCTTGGTGCGAATCGTCACCGTGCGTACATCTAGTGGCGTCTGCAAACGATCCGTTCATAAATTGTGCAAATTGCCCATAGCCAATATATCTGATAAGAAAGATTAACACTCTAATCTTGGTGGGCGGTATGTTAGCGCTAAGTCCGTTTATAATAAATGTACATCGATCGAGGATCTTATCTTCGTGACATACTTACTTAATTGATCTCGGTAGTCGCGTGAAGATGGCGCTGCCCCGCGGTGCGTGAGGAGGTAGTGCGAGCAGCGAAATGTGTGTGTGTATTTCTTCTTCTTATTGTAAGCATATAAGCCGTTGTACAGACAGAGAATAAAGAGAGCATTTCTTTTAAGCAAACGTGTCTTTGCTATATAAACAAGCGTTATCGCATACGTAATTTCTGAGCGATCCGCTCCACTGATAGTACGTCACGTTTCCTCCTCCTCCGAGCGATAGTCCAAACTTGCTGATCGGTATTTCGATATCAACTGAATGACGCGTATCGCGCTACGTCAATTTATAACGAAACCGGCTTCTCGAAGTTCCTCGATAATCGACAGGATCTCATTGTCGTGACCATTATGCCCCGCCTGTAGGCCTATTCTGTAACTTCCTAACGATAATGTCGTTATCGTTATGAAGCGACAATTTTCGGTTGCGCTAACGATGGTATAACGAAAAAACTATTCTGTAACTCAGGATAGCGACGCGAGATCGGTACAAGATACGATACCGACGTCGTTATCGAAAGGACTATATTCGAATTGATATAACTCCATCGCTGTAGTATTGAACCCATCAAATCTCTTCCTTCATACACATTTCTCGATAAGTTTAGGAAAGTTAAAAGGTCTTCGATGGATCCATGATGATTAGAGGTCAAAGGTAGTAAATTTGATTTGAAATTGATCCGTTGATTGTTACTGATTGATATTATCTGTGATTCACGCAGTCGTCTCGTGTTAGATACATAATTAAAATATATAAATACGATGTCACAGTAAGTACATATAAAATAATTTATAAATAATACAAAAAGATAATATAAAATGACAAGGCACTATGAATAAATCAATCACAATATAAGAAAGAAGCATAACTGGTTATTGTTGGGATCAATGTTTATAAAATTCTTATATAAAATAATAACAAAATACACAAATTGACACGCCATCGAAACGTAAGGAACAAAATTTAATCATAACGACGCTAATTATTACATGCTACTTTCAATGTTATGTTTAATATGTAATTTAACTGTAATTTTAAATACTGAGGATGACCTAATTTAAAGGACGAAATGTTTATTTTGTTATTATTTTATATGATAAAAATTTTATAAAAATTGATTGCAACAATAAGTAGCGTTGGTTTTTTCTTATATTGAAAAAGAAAATAGCTATGTAAAATCAATTTTTAATAATTGATGGGCAAAATGTTATTAATTAATATTTTAATGTATATGCCTTTTATGCATATATGTATATGTATATACACAAATTAATGTTTTCTCAGAAAAAAGGAAAGAATTCGCCAAGGAAGGGCCACCATGCAACAAATTGAGGCCCTAGTAAGTTATATAGAACAACATCCAGAAGTTGCTTCAGGAAAATTTACATCTATGAATGCGCATGATGATTTAGAAAAACAATGGCAAGAGTTAGTAACTTATTTAAATTTATTAGTTCCACATGGAAAAGCAAAAGATATAAAATCTTAGAAGACTGTAAGTATATGGTATATAATTAATACTTTTATATTTAATTCAATAATATTTTAATTTTGTTACACACAGACATGGCGAGATCATAAATCAAAAGTATCCGAGAAAATACAAAAACTAAGAAAAGAAAATCCAGCCACTGGAAATAATCCAGTTCAAATAACTTTGACTGATTTAGATAAAAGAATTTTAGGCATAATTGGTCAAGGCTTGTCAAATGTACCGGATAGTTTCCCGGAAGAACATAACGTAAGAAATAAAAAAATTGTTTTACAATAATTTATTACACGTGCACACGTATATGCTGATCTGATATATTTTGTCTTATAATTGTTTTATAATCTTATAGAATGCTATTGAGGAATTATCTGCAGGAAACTCAACATTACTAAATGATGCTCCAGCTCCTATTATTATTGCTCAACTGCCACAAGAGACAAATGGTTCATGTCTTTAATTTTTCCTCTGTATGTTTTAAATGGATTAACAAAATATATAATTTTTTTAATGAAAATTAATGGATTAACAAAATATATAATTTTTTTAGCCGATTTAACTGAAAATGATACAGACACAATGATACAATATGACTACGAAAATTGTAATGAAAATGTAATACAAAATGACAATTTAACACAAGATGAAAATGTCATTCAAAATGAAAATGTAATACAAGATGCCTCATCTTTATGTATTCCATCAACATCACAAGGTACTATATATGTTAGCTACATATTAATATTACAATATGTAAAAGTTACGAACTTTTTTTAATTCAAATAATTTACAAACGCTAAATATTATTAATCCTTTATTGTATTATTAAACACAGGAAAAAGAAAACGAACAAGGAGTAAGTACTTTATTATAATTCACAATTAAAAAATTTTGTTTCTATTTTTAATATTAAATAAAGTTATTTTAATTATAGATGTACGTTTGGGTGTTCAATTAGCTGATGCACGAGAAGCATTCGAAGAAATAGCAGACAAACATGCTGATGCAATAAAGATTGATCTTTTTATAAATTCAAAGATGATACATTTAAATTTCATTTAATTAGAATAATTTTTTATCTTTACAGACATTGGCAGAAGCCATGAAACTACAAGCGGAAGCTACTTGTCAACTTAGTAATGCTATAGACAAAATGGCAAATAACGAGGAACGTCAAACGAAATTAATGGAACTAATTTATGAATTGATTAATAAATTTTTATATGAAGAAAATACACAATAATCTTTTGGAAAACCATAAATTTTATTTTATATAAAGTACATAAGTTTTATTTTTATTGTTCAGTTTTGTCAAGTTTTTTCGGCATTTATAGATATTTTTCTTTAAAAAAAATATATATTTTTATTTTATGTTATAATCGTCTTGTATATTTTTACCTTTTATTCGTGATTCTATTCATTTCCATCATTATCCCAAGCACAGTAATAATTAGGAAACCACTCTCGCATAATTTGTTTTTGTATC